CCTCCCTCCCCCCCCGACTTCCCAGAGCCCGTACACGGTATAGATTTGGGAGGTGACTTCATATAGGCAGCTGCATGTGGGAATTGGAACCATATTAATTTATGTTTTTTACACCTTTCTTGTATATTTCCCCCAATTACCTTGCTTGTTGCAACCTGACATTAAAAGTGACTTTGAATGAAAAACGTAAAAAGGATGTTGGGATTCTGAAAAACAAAGCACCAGCCTTTAACAGCATTTGGATAATGAATTGCTTATCTGTGGGATCTCTCTCACCTTACTGTAAATAAGTATTTTGTAACTGGCCAGATCCATCATTGTGTCCATTTTGTAAGTGCACCTGTCTCTCCAAATTTCAAAAGTATGCTTGGGCAAAAAAGAAAAAAAATCTCTATGCCCCCATATCTTTCCCTCTCAATTTTATTTCAATTAAAAAGACTATCCTTATTCCCATTTTGCCAAATTGGGGAAATGCATCCAAAAACACAGGACTCATCTATTTGGTCTTAATGGAAATTCAAAACACATGATTTTAATCCAGTTTTTCCCATCTCCCAGAAAATTATGATGATCTCCCCCCTTTCTCCTCCCATTCTCTGTGCCTACACTTTTTTGTTTCTGTTTTACATGCTAATATTCCCATATTATTTATTCCATTGCTGGCTCACAGAACTCAGTACAAGCATCAGCAGTTTCTGTTTCTTTCCATATGATAACCAGGAGCACCTTTTATGAAAGAACCCAACTGCTGGATGTCTAGTTAGTCTTCATAGGCAAGACTAAAAACCTGAATAAAGAAAGGGTAACTTCCAAGATTTCTCTTACTTTTAAAATAATGACAATTCTTCAAAACCTTACTCCGAGCTAAACATTTTTTCACACAGCCAAGTGGAGTCAGCATTGTCTTAATAATCGACAGAGCTAGAAGAACAACTTCCTTTTAAATAGCTTTTTTCCATCATGTATTGCCATGTGTTTAATATATTAACAGCAATTTATACCACTACAATTGTCCCAGAATTTCTCTTTTCAAGAATTTCAGGAAACAATTCTCTAGGCACCACCTAGAGTACATCAGGACTGAAGCAATAAGATGCAATTATCCGTATACAAATGTATTTGTTTGTTTGTTTTCTATCTTTATTGTTATTACAAATAATTCAGGTTGACAAACATATCCAGCACATTTTCCTCATCAAATTGTCCCCACAACAAGAACACTGTTAAAGTGGGTTGGTTGAGAGAGAGCGATTGGCCCCAGATCACCCAGTTCGCTTTCACGGCTAAGGTGGAACTTGAATAAAATCATATAAGCATAAAAACTATGGATGTGACCAAGACCTAATGGAACTTGTTTTCAAAGTGTTAGATTTCCATTCTTGTAATTTCTGACTTTACCAAACTGATAATCTACTATATAGTTTGTATATGAGATGATTCTATTTCAGAAGAAACCTGCAGTTTCTTTCTTGAGCCTGCAAATTTGCATGTCATTTTACTACTTGTTTATCTTTTTATTTGTTTACATCTCAAGTGTATGAGATGTACAAGTACAAGTACAATTCTTCACACATCAGTGTCTTTAGAAAAATAGTTTAAACAAAATGCAGATGAGAAAATATTTAGATATGGTAATATATTTTGCAAATTTTTCATTTGGACTAAATTCTAATATATTAACTGACATTAAATTATCATTTAAATAAGATTTCTCAGATACACAACGTATAAAAATCTAACAAACTTGGAAATATTTAAGGGTCTTTCTTTGGGTTACTGTTATTGTCTATGATAGTGTTTTTCAAACTTGGCAGCCTAAGATTTATGGATTTTAACTTCAAAATTCCCCAGTCCACATATCATAAAAGTTGTCAAACTTGAGAAACATTGATCTAAATTATATAAAATCTTGATTAACTTACATCACAATCATTGTCTTTTGTCTTCTCACTCCCTCATTTTGAGGCTCCCAGAGGTTCCTTAGAGATCAGGATAAAAATCTCACTCCCTTTTGGTGGGGAGCAGGGGGGAGAGTTTTTAAAAGGCTTGTACCCATTTGCTTCATCCCAAATCAGAATGATTTTCCTTTGTGGGAATCGAGACACAAAAGTACCTTCAGTCTCCTGTCAGCCCTGACAAAAGAAAAAGAAAATTTTGATTATGCCCTTCTAGTGTTACTTTTCAACATTTCTTTGACCCTCATTTCCCTTTCCAGAAGTGTGATCTCTGGTTTGAGGTTGCTTATTCTCATTTATAAAAAAGTAAAAGCAATTTCATCTCATTTTATCAAAAAAGACTGATAATGTTTATAAACCTGGATCATCAATTTCTAGTTAAATAATTTTTAAAAATATGGTCCTCAAAACAGTTCATATAAGGTCATGACTATCGCTAATGGAAGTTTGAACGATAGCGCTCCACTCATCTAAATTTTGACTTTTTATTAGTGGAAGACATGAAATGTAAAATGAGTTTTAATTTGAACCCAGATGTTCTGCTGAACTGTTTTGGATTGGTATTGGTTTTTGTAGAAGTAAAAAGCAGATCATTTTGATTGTTTTGGCTTTTAGTTGAAAAATAAAATCCAGAGACATAGTAGAATAATTTGTATGGCCCCAGTAGAGTAAGGCTCATGTGCCTCACCACAATTTTCTCTTTTAACATGAAATTGTTGCTAATTTAGCTGCCTTAACCATTTTACTCACCATCTAACCAAGAAGTGGACTCCTGTCAGTGAGATTCAGATTCTCGGGAAGTCTTAAGCTTCTGTCAAATATCTTGCCTTTGTTGTAAAGACAGTTATTTCTGATTTTGTGTCCAGAGTTGTTCTTATATAATCTGCTCTAGATTTTGAGAACTGCCTCCTCTACTGTGAATTCTTTTTTTTCTGGCAAATATTTCCTGCTGAATGGAACTATGATGATTTTAAAAAGGGCTATTAGCCATCAAACTGAATGCTAAGTTTATTGGATTTTATCCTGTTCTTGTACAGATCAGTCCTATAGCCTTTCATCTGTAGCTGCCCCATGAATTAAGCGTGCATCCAGTTTTTGACTTCCATCCTGAACTGGAACAGCTGCATTAGCCTGTGTGTATTTCTGCCAACCATGCTCCCATCTCATAGTTGAAACTGAGGGGAAGAATTTGAGGTGAAGCGTATTTTGGATTATTGGTGCAAATTATAGTATTTGATTCCATTGAAAGGCTGCCAAGATATGAAAAGAACCTGTGCCCCTTTTAGCCTCCTTAAACAATTCCATATGCTGAACCTCACAGTTCCCAAATATAAATAAAAGGCTCAGTTTCATGCAACTGGAAAAGATGTATCTGAGACCTGTAGGCTGAGGGAGTACAGGAAGGAAAAATTATGGGAAATGTTTAAGGGCAGTGCGGAGGGAATAGCATTGCTTAGACCAGGGTTGTCAAACTCAAGCCCTGAGGGCCAAATCGGGCCCATGGGCTGCTTAGATCTGGCTCAGGGGGCCACCCTGGAAACAGTGAAGGATTGGCTTACAGTGCCTCAGCCAGTGAAAATGGAGCTTGATAGGGCCGCACGCTCCGTTTTCCCACCAGAGGGTTGCAGGAAGCCATCACAGACGAAAACAGAGCTTGGAATCCCGTTTTCTCTGGCAGAGTGCTCGGGCCATGCCAGGCGCCCCCAACACAAGTGATGTCAAGCTGGCTATGCCCCCCCCTCCAGCCACGCTCACTCCCCCCCCCAGGTCAAATAAAACCCTGATGTGCCCTCAATGAAACCGAGTTTGACACCCCTGGCTTAGACCAAAGAAAGGCATTGTGTAAATACTGAGAAGATTGTAAGGGCATCCCTTTCCCAGAGCTTTTGTTTTATGCCTGCCTGCTTCACTTGGAAGACTCTTGGTGGTATACAAACTTAATTTTTTATTTTAGTATTATTATAATATTTTTATTTTGCTATTAATGACTGTTTCAATTATGCATTCAGTTAGAGGAATTAATTAGCATGTAGAAAATGCTATATTTTGCAAATTGTGGCCTGCCTTACAAATCTTATAAGAAATTATGATGATGGATATAAACATATTTGTTTATGCAAATTGACTATAAACTTAGCAGTTCCCATGTTCCCCTATGTTCTTTGCTTAGCCTGTGACAGGTTTACTAGGCAGTGATGAATAATAGAGATCAGCAGCACAGAAGGAGCACTGTCAGTTGTACTCCCATTCAGTTGTTCTTTTTAATTCTTTCCTGGCACTCTCTTGTTGGCAGATAGTAATATTTCCATTGTTACCATCAATTATGGCTTGAAGGACTAAGGAGGACAAAAAATATCTGGATACTATTTTCAGCTACTGCAGGTTGCTGGAGTCTGTTTGTGCCATCCATTCTAACTTTGTGACTGAGTTCGACAATATGCTAAGAATTACCATCTGGGCTGCAAAACATTGACCAGATAAAGAAAATGATCAAACTTTCATCTTATGGCTGTCTAGATTTTTGCAGCCCAGGTCTGGTAGCCTTACTCCAGATAGACAACAAGATAAAAATATCTCTTTGGTGCCCTTCTAAATAAGGTAGAAGTCTTTTAATAAGGCAATTTAACATTTTATTCATGGAATATTTTCAATCTTTATTTTGTGAAAGAAAAAAATAATGTAATTGTTGATGCAGACATGGCAATTTGAAGACTATGTTGTTCTGTTCTGCTCAGGGTTGGAAATGGCACAGTCCATCCTGTTATTGGCTGGGGGATGACCATGTGATATACAGTGACGCTCGGAGAATGTGCATGGATTTTGGCTCTGCCCTGGTTACCATCACCAACAGGTATGTATCATGCCATAAGTCATCAAGAGGATTTTTTGTATTGTGGCATTTTTTAAAAAAAATATTCAGGTATTGGTGAGATTGGCTTCTAGATACTCCAGTGTAAAGCTTTTGAAGTACTTACCCATTTTCTTCTTGGTTGCCTTTGGAAGGAGTATGTGCTACTTGGATGCCCGAGATAGTAGTAAAATAGCAGAACCTCTGGGGAAAGATTAGGGTTGGAGGAAAAGGTGAGGAAATGATTTGTTCCTTTTTTCCTGGACTAGGTTTGAACAGGCCTATGTGAGCAGCCTCATCTATGGCTGGGAGGATGAATATTTTTGGACTGCATTACAAGACATAAATGAAACCGGTTCTTTCCGTTGGTTGAGTGGAGATGAAGTCACTTATACCCATTGGAACCGTAACCAACCTGGTAAAAGTTTATATCATATTCCAAATTGCAAAAGTATAAGTATATACACTCTTATATACTTTGTTTTAAGTACTGAATATAAGAAAAAAAACCAACTCTGATTTTGTATTTATATTGATGTGGTATATCAATACACTGTGACTTTTTAGAAAAAAAATCATAGTTTGCATTATTAAATATTAATTTTGGGTAAACCAGCAATGAAAATGTTCATATTAAGAATGATTAAGAAATGGATATTACCTACTATTTTAAGGGTCGGTATCTTACTGAATTATAATATCGCTCCATTTGAAATCTGTGCATAGTTCCGGTTATATTATTTCAAAACCTTCTCTGTGAAACATCTTCTCCTACAGGGGAAAATTCTTAGACTTTCTGGGGTTATATAATATGCTGCATGATTAGTGACATCTCCTTCTTAGATTATGATCACCTCATTTATTCCTGTACTTGAGAGCAAAAACGTTCAGGATTTCATTATGGTCCAATATTACTCTGCACACATCAGTGTCTTTAGAAAAATAGTTATCACGATATCATCCACAATAGCATCCTTTTGTACTGGCTTCATAATTTAGGACTGGGTGGTGGAGTGTTGCACTGGTTTAGTTCTTTTCTCTGTTGCTGGTTCCAATAGATGCTAATGGGGGCAGGAGATCAAGCCTTCGGCCGCTCTTTTGTGTGGTGCCACAGGGCTTGGTACTCTCTCCTTTTTAACTGCTGGGTGAGATAATCCAACACCACAGGTTGAGATATCATCAGTATGCTGATAACACTGAGCTTTATATTTCCATCCCTGGTGACACAAGGGATGGTGTGGCTGTCCTTTTGTGGTGTCTGGAGGCTGTGGAAGCCTTGTGAGGGACAACAGGCTTCAACTGAACCTTCTGTAAGACAGAGTGGCTGGGGGGTATGCAAAGTCTTGGGATCCAGAACTTTATCATCTTTAGTTCTGGGTAGGGTGGCACTACCCTAGGTAGACTTGGTATGCAACTTGGGGGTTCTCCTAGGCCCATATCTCCTACTCAAAGAGCAGATAGCACTTCTGGATAAGAGAGCCTTCCTACAACTTTGTGTCGTGTGCCAGTTATGCCCTTTTCTGCATTATGAGACACTATTCAATCACTCTTGCCCTGGTCATCTCCCATCTGGATTACTGCAGTGCGCTGTACATGGGGCTGCTCTTGAAGTCTATTTGGAAGCTACAGTTGGTCTAGGATGGATCAGCACAGACAGTTTTGGAGGCCCCTAAGGGGACACAGCTAACACCACAGTTATGCAGACTCCACTGGCTGCAATTCAAGGTATCACCTTTAAAGTCCTTTAGGGCGTGAATCCAGGATATCTGCAGAATTATCTTTCCCCAATGGGATTGGCTTGTTCCGCTCATGTTGACAGAAAGGCCCTACTGCAGATCCAATCAGCTAAGGAATTTTGACTGTTGGAATCCAGGAAAGGAGCCTTTTCTGCCATGGTCCCCACTCTTTGGAACATCTTGCCACAAAAGTAAGATCCATCCTCTTTTTTTTGCCTTCAGAAAAAGCCTTAAAATATGGCTATGTTGGCTGATATGGGGTCCTGAAGGAGAAGCTATTGATTGGAGGTAGTGGGTGTACTAACAGAGATCTCTTCCTCCAAACCCTTTTTTTAAAGTTTGCTTTAGTTTTTGTAACTTTAATCTGTTTTTATATACACAAGTGTCAGGTATTTGTATGTTTCCAACAAAGTATCCGCCATATATAACATTCATTAGATGTATGATACTAACTACAGTCTTTAGCCATCATTCTATAAAAAGTTTGCAATCAATATGACAATAACATTTCAGCTTGAATACACATCTGAGAAGATCGGAATGGTATTTTATGATTCAAGGAAGGAGAAAGGTCAGATTTTGTATTGGTAGCAATCTTGGTGGTATTGTGAGTCAGAAAGAAAATATAAGCTTAAACCTTTTCTCTTGTGTATTTCCTCTTTCTTATGAACTTATTAGGTTATAACAAAGGTGGCTGTGTTGCTTTGGCCACAGGAAGTGCCATGGGCCTGTGGGAAGTAAAGAACTGCACTACATTCAAGGCCAAGTATATCTGCAGGCAGAATCTGGGGACACCAGTAAATCCTGAACTCCCTTCACCACATCCTACACCCAGCCTCACTGGCACTTGTCCTTCAGGTTGGACCACCACCTCCAAGCTGAGATATTGCTATAAAGTAAGTCCTGAGTAAAGGAAGGCAGCTTTAGTGCCTTTAGTGATTTGCAGTGATGCTTAAAAGTTTGAATGTTCAATATTCCTGCATAAATATGAACTAAAACATCTGTTCTCTACACAAGATTCTCTAATTTAGAGAACTAAATTAAACAAAGTGAGTCAAAATATTAGACTTCTTATTTATTGAGGAAAATTATTTTTAGGATTAAGGTTAGGACTTTGATTTAGCTAATCCACAGATTCATTTTCTTGTGTTTTAATCATTCTTTGGTTGTATAATTTGTGTTTTGCGTTGTTGTTTTACTACATGATCCACTTTCTTTGGAACTTCAGTTTATATACATATATTCTGGTTTATATACATATATTCTGGTATATTCAGCTTCAGCTTCAGTTTATATACATATATTCTGTTTTTTTTCTACAAAATTATCTGATATAATTCAGAATTCATAGTTCTATCAATTATGGCAATTATTATCCCGGTCCAGAGGCAACAATCACTGCAATCACCATCTTTCACAGATCTTCTTTCATCTTTCTTATGCTTTTCCTTTTGCCAAACATAAAGCTTTTCATTCAAGGCAAAAAGTTCTTTTTTGATCTCATCTATTCACAGGACATTCTTCCAGAAGCCTTCTGGCTTATCCATGTGGTCTTTTGCAAACTAAATGACAATCAATATTCTTTTTGGAGAGTAGCGACTTTCTCCTTTTAACCCTGGTATGCCAAGTGTTCTTCTGATTGTGGTCTCACAAACACTAACATCTGATTATCATCCCATTGGTTGAAAAACATGGCTCTAACTTCCTTCAAAGGAACTGATAAATTCTGGAGGTTCTCCAGGGATAGTGCAGAAAGGATCACAGGTAGGTATTATCAAGTCCTGATTCGTCCGGAGACTGAGTGGTAATTTCACACCTCTCACTCCTTCCCTGAGCCCCCAGTTTCCTCTTAGTCTGGTCAGAAGGAAATTAGATTTCCTTGGTTCCTGAAAATTGAGGAATACTTTTAAATTGAATGATTGGAAACTCTAAATTCTAATTTGACTAGCTGCTGGGATTATCGAGGCCGTTCTTCATTGCCACCTGTTGGGGTAATCAGGAGCTGGTTTGGCTGCCATTGCCGGTTTCCCTGTCATGTGGCGTCATTGGTTCCTGTTGCACGGAATGCCAGGCCTCGGACACAGCAGCTCAGCTGGGGTTAGTATCCCCGGGGCCGGCCGTGATCCATTTGATGGGAAACGCCAGCTTCTAATCCTTCCAGGAGTGGAGAAGCAGTGGCCATCAGGCAAACACACGGCAGCAGCCATTTTGAGGTGCTGCAAGATCAGCTGCGTGACAAGCAGACCGTGGAGCTGTTCGGAATTTGCTCCGGAAGATGGTGGACTCCTCTCCTTGCGACTGTGACACCAAGCAGGTTATCAGAGCGGCGCATTGCAGTGGGGCAGCTACCAGCAGCGTCACTGAGTAAGCCACATGTGTTTTAAGATGGCAGCCGCCAGAAACGAGCATGAGCCATGGCCTTCAGACATTAGCCAAGACCAGGGGCAGAGGAGGAGTCTTCAAGGCCACATACCACAGTGCAGGCTGCCAAGCCTTCAGCTGCTCAGTGACCATCCTGGGCCACTATTAGGGATGAGCAGTGGTGCCAGTAGGCTATTGAGAAGAGGGTGGCCCAGGCAGAGAAGCAGAGGGAGGTCCAGGATGAAAGGCCAAGCTCTCTCCATAGATCCATGTCGCCAGCGAGGGGTCTATTATGGGGGAGGAGTCCCAACAATAGATGGAACTATCAGAAGACGAGGAGACCTTACCCCCAGATCCTCCAGCCTTTTTGGGGCTATTTACTCCCTCTCTATTCAAGACTCTTTTGCACAAGACCCCATGCTACCACCAAGTTGGGCCCAGGAACCTCCGCTCCGGCTACTGCCATGGCCATCTAGACGTTGCAGGACCTGGAGTTCTCCGTGAATTTTCCCAAAAATCATCTGTCAGCAACAACAAGGCTTCTATGCCTGAAAGCAATTATAGACTCCAGGGCAGGGGTAGTTCTTCTGTCTCCCGACTGTCGGTCCAGCTTTCAAAACCTGATCTGACAGATTCGCCTCAAATGAGCCATTCCCATTATAGACCCGTCCCGCCTCTTGGGCAAAATGATCTCATGCATAGGGATCATGCCTTGGGCACGCCTACATGCCAGGACATTGCAGTGGGCTCTCATCCCCTACCAACGTTGGCTCATGAACAACTCCAACATCTCTATCATGCTCAGGTATGGCTGTTGCTGCACTGGTGGCTCTCCCCAGCACTCTCCTGGGAATCGGAGTTCAGGGAGCTGACAAGGTTCACTGTGATGACAGCCTCTTCAGCTGGGGGGCGCTGATGGGATCACAGCTGGTACAAGTCATTGAATTGTAGCCAATCTGTGCCACAATATAAACTGGCTCGAGTTGAAGGCGGACCGGCTGGCGCTCCGGCAATTTCAGTTGTCCCTGGTAAACTGACCCATACTGCTCCTGACAGACAACATCATTGCAAAGGCACACATCAACTGGCAGGGAGGAACTCACTCAAAGGCCTTCTGTGTCAAGGCACAGCAGCTCGGTACACCTGGCGTCAGTGGTGGTGGAACACATCTCGGGATCGGCCAACCATCAAGCCAAATGGCTCAGTCGGCCACAGTAGACCATGGGGAGTGGCAGTTGCATCCCAGCTTGTTTCATCAGATTTGTCAGTGCTTTGTCACTCCCATGATGGACCTCTTCGCCACCCCAGCGAATGCCCAGTTGCCTTGATTCTTCTTGAGGTTCCTGATGAGGGGACCAGAAGGAATGGACGCCCTCTGGAGCCGATGGCCAAGCGGACTTCTCTATGCCTTTCCTCCCCTTTCCCTCCTTCCAGGAACAATCAGGAAGATAGAGGCAGAGGGGGCAGAGGTCATTCTCCTGGTGCTGCACTGGCCCAGGAAACTGGTATGCGGACTTAGTGCTGTTGTCAGTCTCCCCCCCCCTGCCGTGGAGGATTCCACAGAAGGAGGTCTCTTTGTGCCAGGGGGTCTTGCAACATCCGGAACCCCAGTGGCTCTATTTGACTGCCTGGCACTTGAACGGAGCCTCCTGAGGAACACCAACTTCTCCTCAAGGGTCATTTCGACCGTCGGGGCATTGAGGAGATCGTCGACTATGAGGATCTGTAACTCCATGTGGTTTTTGTTCGTCAGGTGGTGCACATCAAACAGGGTGGTTGCTGCCACGGGCTCAGCTCCCCAGGTCCTGGAATTCTTGGAGGACAGACTAGAAAAGGGTCTCTCCCATAGTACGATCCGACATCAGGTGGCAGCCCTGTCCACTGTACTTGCTGGTGAAGGTCATGTTCCACTGTCGCAACTCCCCGTTATTAAAAGGTTCCTTAGAGGAATGGCAAACCTTTGTTCTCCCACCGTCCATAGGTTCCCTATGTGGGACCTGCCCCTGGTCCTCTGGGCTCTCACAGGACATCCCTTTGAACCCCTATAGACTGACAGTTTACAATACCTCATGCTCAAGGTTGCATTTCTGAAAGTCATAACATCGGCCAGAAGCATCTCGGACCTGGGTGCTCTGTCATCACGGGGAGACCTTTGCATGTTTCATCAGGATAGAGTGGTTCTTAGATTAGATCCTTTCTTTATCTTGAAGGTGAATACCCCGTTTCATAAAGCTCAGGAGGTTGTGCTCCTGAATTTCTGCCCGGGATCCACTTACGATAGGTAACACCTCTGGCATCAGATTTACCTCAGGGGCACGGCTCCGATCTGCAGATCGGAGGCGTTGTTAGTTTCTTTCCAGGCATCTACCATGGGGGCATGGGTCACGGCCACGACGATCAGTCATTGGTATTTTGGAGGGCCATTGTTATGGCCTATGAAGCCTCAGGTCGTACACCGCCTACTAGCATTACAGCCCACTCCACCCGGAGTGCTATCACCATGAAGGCATAGTCTACTAGGGCTTCTTTCAAGGATATATGCAGGGCAGCCACATGGGCAATACCATCACCTTTTATCTGACACTACCGACTGGATGCCTTTGCATCCGCTGAGGCGTCCTTTGGGCACAGAGTTCTAGCAGGTCGTGACCACCCTGGCCACTATGGACTAGGAGGTTTTACCCCTCCTGGGAACTGTAGCTTGGGTATGTCCTATCTGTGGCCCCTCCCGCACTATCCCTGGAGAACAAACGTTGGTTCTTACCTGAACGTTGATTCTCAGGGAGGTGCGAGAGGGGCCACATCTCACCCTATTCAGATCTGTAGCATCATAGATTATAGAGCCTGGGCTGGGGTTGGGGTTGGCCTGGTTGTCTTCTTGTGTCCTTTCAGATCTATCTACACTGCCGCGACCTCAAGGAAAACTGGGAGCCAAGGGAAGGAGTGAGAGGCATGGCTGAAGAAATTACCACTCAGTCTCTGGACCAATCTGGACTTGATAATACTCAGCTGTGGCCCCTCCCACACCTCCCTGAGAATCATCGTTCAGGTATTTTTGTCCCCGCAGATATGTAGCTTTGGATCATTTTCCTCAATAAATGGACTGTCAGAGGCAAGAAATCGGGAACCAGGATATATAGAGTTCAAAAGAACTACAGTTTATTTCATGTTATCTATTCACAAGAATCTGATCTACTAGCAGTCAAAGCCAGCTAAGAGTCAATATACTTCAAACGGGACTGGATTTAAGTTTCTTATGGGCGCATAGAGTTTCCAAACTGATTATTCATTCTACTCCACCCTCAGGCCCAGCCTAATCATCTCCTATATGAATAAATCTAAAGTTTTTAACTCATTTGTTTAACTGAGTTCTCTTTATCTAGTTTTAAAACTTGTATGGAAAACTGATCACATTTTAGGTCATATTTATGTAAATACATATTGAACATTCAAAAGAATTAACAAACTTATAAGCATCACCATATACTCAAAGGATTAAAGACAAAGAGAATGATTTTAACTTGAATTGATTTTAATACAGCAGTTTCATAATTCAACATAAATGCTATAGTTTGAATGTGATTGTATTTCCTAGTTAGTGTGATACAGTAACGGCATATTGGTTTGCTAGTTAGAGATCCTTTAGCTCTGCAGAATAGTGTGAAAATATTTGTAATAAAATGTGTTTTTGAAGCCTACCTAGAAGTTGCAATGAGTGTAAAATATAGCAGGAAACTTGTTAGATAGTTGGAAACAGGAATTGTTATTTAGGGACATTACATTTGATAGTACTGCTTTATACTGCTTTGGAAAGACTCCACTTTGAAGACTGCATCAGTTTTGTTCACCATGATACAAACAGATGTTGAACATGCAGGAAAGAACAACAAAGATGATTAGGGGGCTGGAAACAAACGTATGATGAACTGTTGCAGGAACAGGGTAAATCTACTCTAATGAAAGAAGGACTAGGGGTGACATGATAGCAGTCTTTCAAGATTTGAGGGGCTGTTACAGAGAAGAGGGATACCAATTTAAAGCACCTGAGGGTAGGACAAAAAAATAACGGAAAATTATCAAGGAGCTATCCAACATAGGAATAAGGAGAAATTTCCTGACAATAAGAACAATTAATCAGTGGATTAATTGTTCTTTCCTCCAGAGGTTGTGGGTGCTCCATTAGGTGGAGGTTTTAAAGAAGAGGTTGGATAGCCATTTGTCTGGATTGCTACAGGGTTTGCTGCCTGAACAGGGGGTTGGACTAAAAGACCTCCTAAGTCTCCTCTAACTTTGTTATTCTGTATTGCAAACTGTCATATGTTATCCACTTGTTTCTAAATACAGTTCAAAATGCTATTTTGCTTGGTTCTTAGGTACCTTCCTGAATATTCTCTCTGAGAAAACAACATAGAGTCCTCATTACAGGAGGTTAAATGGCAAAACTTCTAGATAATGCTTTTTCACTGTGGAACATTTCCCACTTTTGGTCTGGTGTCCTTCCAGAACCTAATTCAAACAGTGCTTTTCAAGAAAGTTTGGGGGGAAGATTAATGCATGGTGTTTGTGTCATTGTAATGTACTGTATTGCTGTCCTTGTTTGTAAATTACTCATTCAAATTATAATAGTATATAATAACACCAAAAATAAATAAAAATAAAATAAATATAGAAGACTATGACTTTAAATGTAAGAGCAAATGATACCAGGGAATAAATTAAGAGATGAGATGAAAGAAAGAGAAATTGACGTGTTTTATGACTATGAACTGAGGAGAAAGGTAATGGGTATAATGAATAGATTTGTATCTCTTATCACACATTACTGTAAATATGGTTTTGGCTAAGTAAGAAAAAAACCCAAAACCAATCAATATTGAAGGCTTTAGATAGAATAGAAAACATGAGATTCACATTATCCTATCCCAAATGCCAACTAGGTCATGAGAAAACATGATGCTCCTTTTGCATATTCATCAAATTCTGCCTTTGTTGAGGAGAAGAGATATTATTCCAATGGAGCATTATTTTAACGGGGTAGATTTTCATTTTCCAGTGCAGTATTTGTGTGAGACATATCCTGTCATACATTTCTAACAAAAACCAGAGTCAGTCATGCTGCGATAATTACAGGGATAAATTCGTAAAATTACCCTTTCTCCTTAATTTTTGGACAGGTATTCAGCTATGATAAGCTGCAGGAAAAGAAAAATTGGATCACAGCACATTTGTTCTGTCAGGAATTAAAAGCACAGCTCTTGAGCTTGAGTGATTATGAGGAAGAACATTTTGTAGCCAATACCCTCAACAAGATTTTTGGGTGAGGAATAAATTAAGTACTTAAGTAATTTTGTGACTAATTAGAAAATGTATACTTTGGAGTTACAGGTTTATATACATTTGTGCATTTCTCTGTGCTCCTGAATATATACACGCATTGGCAGAGTATAAGGTAATTTTACCCAGAGTTTCTATATATTTTGTAAATGCCCAAATTGACCTCACTAAAAACATAACTTAAATCACGGCAATACTTTTATTTGGGGCAAGTAATTAGAGGAAATGAAGAAGAAGAAGAATTGTTCACATTTTTCTCAGCATCAAAAGCAAAATCAGACTACTTCTCTTAACTATGTCAAATGGGTTTTTTCATCTATGCAATCATCTCTTTATCCCCCTTTGCTATGACCCAGGGAGTTGGAACCTGACATTCATGAGCAACATTGGTTCTGGATTGGATTGAATCGCCGTAGCCCTAGAGCTGAGGGAAGTTGGAGCTGGAGTGATGGTGTTGGAGTGAGTAGTGGATTTTCTATTTGGAATATACATGGAAAAATGTAAATATTTAGACAGTATTTATTAGTTTGTTTATTTATTGAATCAGCTTTTTTAAAATTACAAATTGAGCTACAGGCTGTTTAATATAGCATTAATTTTGTCTGCTTAGACCAATTAGTCAAAAAATTTCTACTGAAAACAGAAAAACCTATCTAAACTTTATAATAAATCAAATAACATTCTCTCTATTCTGTATTTTGTACTCCAATGCATCAAACAAATTAAATGCCAATATTTACATTAAAAATATCTGAAAAGAATTTGGAAAAATATGGGTTTTTCAGTTTCTCTTTTTTCTGACTGTGAAGAATTCTCACTATCAGCTGTTTCTACTTTTGATTAATTATACTGGATTAAGATATGCCCATCCTGAGGCAAGCTCTGCTTTCATATATAGTTGTTTATTTTTTGACTTGGTGAATAGTTTTCAAAACTTTTAATAATTTAAAGCACAAACATTAGAAAATATTTCATTTTTCTCACCCAAAATGTTCTAACCTTTAGAAAACTAAGCATAACTCAGGAAAAGGAGGAAATAAGAATGTGTTGGCAAAGGATCAAGATCAACCTATCTGAGTCTTTTTGCACCTACAGCCAAACATGATCTGAGGGTTTTTCTCCAAATCTCTTTGGAACTAACTGCTTCCCATTTGATTTTGGCCTCTAGTTTTCTTATCACAACTTTGACCGCAGTAATCATGATAATGACGACATCCGTAACTGTGTTGCCCTGGACTTGGCATCCTTGCAGTGGGTGCCTCTGCAGTGTGAAATTAAACTGGACTGGATCTGCAAATTGCCCAAAGGTGACTGGGATTGTAATGAGGAGGCAGGGAGGGAGCAGAATAAAAGAAGTGATGTGATTGGGCAGAGCACAAGGTATTTGAGATAAGGTTTGGACATGGTTTGTATTGTTAATTCCATTCTCTATTTTGGGAATTGAATGCTTATGTACTTACAAACACTATTAAGCATCTCTATCACAATTTTGCTGTTTATTTCTTCATTTCTATATGTCTTTAAATATGAGATTTTAAAGAAGATTTATTAACTAATTTTAGTTGTGAAAAATGCCTACTAGCTGTCAGTTACTTTTGAGAATGTCCATCTAAGGAGACCACATGATTAATATAGTTAAAGCTGTGTTCTTCAGACTGAGACAGTTTTGCCCCATTTGATTTGCAAGGTTAACTTTTTATGACTGTCCTGAATTTTTTTTTAAAAGCTTCCACTACACTTGCTTTTCTTTTTATTGCTGTATTATTATGGCAGTTATTGTCTAACTCACAAATTTATGTGGATAGCTCATTACCAATTGCTCTGAGTTTTGCCAGTGAAGGAAATAGAAGAATCCATAACTATTTTAATTAAAAAAGGAAATAAATTCACTTGCTTTATGGATGTTTTAAATAAAGACTATTATTTACTATAATATTACAAGACCATAAGATTATTTTAAATAATTCATTTTATTGCTGTCTTGAAAACAGTTTTATATGCTTGTTGGGCATATGATCTGTCATTCATTCATTCATTCATTCATTCATTCATTCATTCATTCATTCATTCATTCATTCATTCAATAGGGACTGAGGTGGAAGAACCAGAAACAACCATCCAAGGTGAGTATATCTAGTCCTATGTCTATATATCCTAACTCTGTTGCCCCCATTCCTGTAAAGTTATGTCCATTCTTTGATTTGTATACACAACAGATGTTTGTTATGATGTATGCAAATTAAAGATAATGAAGTTAATATTATGCTTTAAAGATTTTATGAACAATGGATGTCAAGACTTACATACATAAATATGGTAGTATCCCACAGTATCAGTAGACCTTTGTAGTTGGCAATAGTGGATTATGTTTTTTAAAAATATTTTTTTTCCAGCAGGTGTTTGTTAAGGGTTTTTGTTAATCAACTAAAACTAGAAAGGATTTGATATCTAGAAGTTGGGTGGACTTGTAGAGGCCCAATATGTATGACGCAGTTTTAAGAGAGGTGCTATGTGGATTAAGTGCTCTGAGAAAATGCAGGTCCCTAACTGTGTCAAGGGAGGGAGGCAATAATCAATGTTAAGGCCCTACATCAAAAAGACGGATCAGTGCTTGAGGCAGAGGAAAGAAAAGTTGATTAAAATAAAAGGGGGGTGGCTTTTGTGAGTATACACCTGAGCATATTATGATTATGGTTTCTGGAGTCATATGTGATCTGGAAAAAAACTGAAAAAGAAAAATAATTGACTGAAGCTGAACACAGTATTTATTTTTATTGTATAATATCAATCTAATCCTCTGACTCCAATATGTTATATTCAGCACAAATTCCATTTAATGTAAATGTTTGTGGAAGATGCAACTTTGATTATTCTTAAAACAATAAGAAAGTTAAGTTTGTTGAAACTTCTGTCTTATGGGGCAAGAAGTGATTTTCTATCATGCATTTGATTTGGAATGTGTTTATTACGAAACAAGTTATTGTTACCCCAGAATGATATTTATTTTAGTTGGTATGTCCGCTCTTCTAGCTCTACTACGCAGGTTATATTTAATAAGTTTTATTGAGTGTGGATTACTGACCAGGCTCAAAGAATTTGATTTGACATTTGTTTTATCATGGGTGAGAAACATTGCAATTGAAATCAAATTCCAGTCAATCCCACTCACTGTGTGCAATAGCGATGGATGAATGGGGTTATACTCTAACAATATCTAGATGGCAAGAAATTTGTGGTCAAGATATTGTATTCATAAAGACTATATGCAAATGAGGATAATGTTTCTCTACATTAATTTATGAGCAGAAACTTGATAGGATTTGGGTGAAACCTATTCATTCACCAATATTTCAGGAATTTAAACCCTTCTCTTAAGAGAACAAAAAACAAAACAATGAAAGAGTACCTAGCTAAATAAAAGAAATGATTCCTTCGATGATTATGGTATTTACTGTATCGTTGATTTTTGTACAGCTAAAAAGAAAACAGACCAGTTATTTTCTCACTTTCTCTGCAGGGAGTAATGAGTGGTTAAAGTTTCAGGATGCTGAATACAAGTTCTTTGATCACCATTCAACTTGGGTGCAGGCTCAACGGATTTGCACATGGTTTCAAGCTGATTTGGTGTCAATTCATAGCCAAACTGAATTGGATTTTCTGGGCCAAAACTTGAAGAAGGTAGGACACTGTCTGAAATACGATGATATGATGAATTCATGTCAAATACAATTAGTCAAATTGGTATTGTGTTGTCTTAGGGACTGTAGGGGTTTTAAGATCAATCAAAAGACATTTCCATCCATCCAAAACAATTCTTTTACGGAAAAAACAAAAATGGGAGAACTTGTAAGAAACAGAAAAAATTTATAAAAAGAAGACAAAGTACTTTTGCTTTCCTCTAGAAAACAAAATCTGTGGAGGATGAATTACCCCCTTGATAACACATCCATTTCCAAAACAGCCTATTATAAGAAGAGAATATTGATGATTGGTAGGATGGGAGGGTGGTCTGGAGGAAGACATCAAAAACAAGACTCTGTATCATAACTTAATTTTGCAAATTTGTATGGGATATTATATAATTTATTTTTATTGCTTTTTAATTATTAAGAAAAAAGAAAAACACAAAGATAATAATTTGGAAAGGCTTATTTTGAGAAAGAGAAGAGAAAAAAACAATATAAAAAAGTGCTTTAACAAAAATAATAATGAAAAAATAGGACAAAGAAACAAATAGTATAGTATTTATACAAGCATCATTTTAAGTTATCATATACATGTACTCTATATAAATGAATCCTATATTTCATTATTGTTGTCTATACAAGTATACATCTATAAACAATTTGCTTGTAAGTAAGTGTAATCAAGCCTTCAATCTATTGACTAAAAGAGGCCCTTTATCTTTCCAATGATGCAATATCAGTCCTCGCCATAGCAAGAGCATAGAAAATCCATGTACATCATCCAAATCCCATATACTAGAGTTCAAAAGAACGTTATCCTTCCCAAAAAATTAGCTTTTGTTGCACATATTTACACAATCCACCACTTTCTTGCCAAACTTGGTAAATAGAAAATATTGTGGAAGCATATGTTTTAAAGAAGCATTATCCTTACTACATCTTCAACCAAGTGCTGTTTTTAACAGCCCTTTTCGATATAAATATAATGGCAGTCCAATAGGTTTAAGTGTTCAAAGTATAGTGTATATGCATCTTTTAATTCAAACATGGCTAATTGTGATTTTGACTTCTTATTTTAAGCTAAAAAAGAATGCTATTTTTCCATTGATGTGTTAGAGAACTTTACATTCCAGTGCGATTGATAAATGAGCCAATGATTTGAATATACAAGTTCTCATTCAGTTTCTGGCATTTTCAGGTGAAGGATTAAGGATTAATGTACATAATTATTTTTATTCTATGTTTAAAAGTACCTACAAAGAACATAGCACTAATGAAACCATGCTGTTGGAATGATCCTAATACTAATATCATTTTCCTAATGGAAGGGCCAGGTAACTTTTATCCATAAAGTGATCCTATTACACTGTATAATTTAGCCTTGTACATTAGGTGCATATTAGATGGCTTCAATGAGAACCTTAGCCAGACCAGTGGGCAAGCTAGCTGAACTGAGTAGAAGTTTTAATTCAAAACATCTGAAGAATGCCAAACTCTGGAAGACTGCCAGATTTAATATGGAGTTTTTTTTGTAGGTAATGGTAAAGTGTTTTTTTAAATAAATACTGGGCTAGACAAAACAACATGGTTTGGTATAAGAGAGTTTGCTGTGTGCAGTTAGGGCTTCATGTATAGGTAAGCTAAGTGGGGATTGAAGCTTACTAAGAATGAATCTGTGCATTTGCAGGGCGACTTTAATTGATATTTTATTCTGCCTTTCTTCAAGAATATACAAGGCGGCATATGTAAAGTTATATAAAAGCATGTTGTTTGATCCTTGAAAATATAATAGAGAATTAATAACCTTAAAGAGAGATTGGTGGACTTGTGATTGAAGGCAGCAGTGTCAACAATTATTTAATAGTACTTAAGGCATATTTCATCGAAAGCTAGAATAATGAAAGAAGGAGGCCCAGGATGGCATTTTTTTTAGTCACAACAGGTAGTTTGACATTGGAGAGAAATGATTAGTTCTCTTATTCTCATTCTCCCTCTTACTCACGATGATATTTCTAATGCCAATATATACAATCCTTGACCAGTTTTCAAGAGGTCAGGAGGAACATTGGTGGACTGGATTAAACACCTATGAGAATGATGGACGGTTTCGGTGAGTTTTCTATGTTCTTCATTAACACCTGTCACTGCTCTAGAAATGTTTTATTTCATGGCTTCATCTTTGCTTAAAATATAAAAGCCTCCCTCTGTGCCATTTACTTCCTTCAGGTGGTCTGATGGTTCCTTATTGAATTTCATCTCATGGGCACCTGACAAACCACAGCTTATCAGCAAAGAAAGGAAGTGTGTGTACATGACAGCTAGCCGAGGTTAGTAGTAGATATTCATGGAATTGCTTAACATTCCCAAATGATAATTGATTTCTTTCTTAAGTACCTTTACTGTGTCTTTGGCCAGTTTGCATATGGCATAACACAGCACACTACTGGGCCTTGGGCTGTTTGGAACTGGGCTGCGGAAGGGATGGGCAAGCATCCTCACTTGAACAAGCAGCCGGCAAGTGTGAACTCCATTTGCATGAGTGGTGGGTCAGTGCATCCACCACTCGCACAAATGGAACTGCACACTTGCCCACACTTGCCCACTGCTTACATGGAACCACCCCCGCCTCGCTGCACTCAGACAGTCTGCAAAGCTGGAAAGTTTGGGAACTCTGGCATTTCTTTGCTTTCTTTGTTCCTGATACTTCTCCTGAAGTTGGTGCTTGGTGCATGACAAAAAATCATGTCAATATTCCCATGATGTTTGTGGAAGCCAAGTTGTGACTCTGGCAGCAGGCCCAGCTCCAGATGGGGGACCAGACGATTTAGCAGAATTTTTGCAATGTTTTTTACTGCAATGAAGACTAGCAAATCCTTTAAAAGTTGTCACATATAAAATTGTATAATTAATAAACAAAAATGAACATAAAGCAATAGGAGATTACATACTGAAGCTGGAGTGACTGATGGGTTGATAGTTTAATTTGCATCATTATTTGTTTCTGCATTCTATATGCAGCTGTGCAAAATTGTGCTACTTTATGGGCAACATAAAGGAATTCATCTGAATGTTATGGAAGGCTTGTTTAAAGAACCATAATTTACACTATAGATTCCTATAACATTTGCAATAAAGTAGAACATGGCTTAACTATTTCAATCAACTCTAAGCATGGAAACCTGCTGTATGGCAAAATAGATGGAAGGATAATAAATTGATCTTGCAAGAAATGTTCTCTACTGTTTAGGAGAATCCAAAGTGGTGAAATGTTTATTTGACTGCAGATTCAAAATAAACCCTTGGCATCCATCATTATTGGGAAATTAAGTCCATTTGCCAGTCAATATTCTAGACTTGTTTGTTAATCAATACAAAATTATGCAAGTGTCCTAAATTTTCTCCTACGCCTGATTATTGTCTGAATAAATAATAGTATAAAATGCATAAAGCAAAATTTATAAACATTTTCCAACCAGGAGAGATTGGGAGAATATTTTGCAAGGAACTGATTAAGAAATCAAACACTGAAAATCCAACAGGTCAATTAACCATCCAAATGTTCCTTATCTATCAGTTAATAGAACAGCTTCTTACCAGTTTTCCCAGGGAATATGTGTAAGAGACTGAGAAAGTTTCCTTCTTAAGAATCTGGGAGATACATTGGATTCAGAAAGCAAAACAAAGCAGCTGCTGAGATTTCTGTAATTTATCCTTTCTTAGAACATACCTTGTTAAAGGTTTTTAAGAAGAATCTTGTGACTTATGATGGAGGAGGAGGGTGGGGGTCAAGAACTTTCTAATCCAACAAATTCATCTGTACTGAATTATCAGTCATCAAGGCAAAGAGAGTTTTATCAGGTGCAGAGAAAGGTTCTTCTATTGCAGTTAGTTAATTCTAGCCTACAAACTATCTCTAAGACTTTAAAGTTGCATTACTACAAGTAATCCTTGACTTACAACAGTTCACTCAGTGACCATTCAAAGTTACAATAGCACATTTTCACACTTACAACCACTGTCCAACCAGGGTCACATGATCAAAATTCAGATGCTTGACAAGTGGTTCATAATTATAACAATTGCCCTGTCCCAGAGTCATGTGATCAGCTTTTGGACTTGTGACAAAGAAAATCAATGGGAAACCTAGCTTCACTTAATAACCATGTTACTAACTTAACAAATGCAATAGCAATAGCAGTAGACTTATATACCGCTTCATAGGGCTTTCAGCCCTCTCTAAGCGGTTTACAGAG